TAATCATAAATATATAAAGAAAAGTTTAAAACTAAATAAAATAGAAATTGTTATTGGCAATAAGTACATGTGCTTGTTTATTAATAATTCAAATATTATGTTCAAACAAATTTAAGTGAAAGGTATGCAATTTCAAGAAAAAAGCAATTGCTTAGTTTTTATGCATACGGCTTAACATTTCCGGTAGGAAGCAGAAGGTCAGTATGTATAAATAAAAAGCTTTATCAGGGGAACGTGTTATATTTTCAAATAACAAATAAATAAAAAATACATCATAATGAAATGTTGTCGTTTATTGCATGTGATCTGATGTCGGATTCAATTTATAGGTTCTCGTAGGTAGCTCGTTCTCGAAGTCATCAGTGGTGAAGTGTTTTACACAGATGACGCTGGTTCGGGCGTTGAAATCCGTTGGTCTCCGGCAGAACTGGATCCACTTTTCCACCAACTCAATGTCGGCCGGAAAAGTAAAAAAACTGCACCCAGATCGTTTGGCACTAACACTAGCACAATTAACCACTGCACACCTCATTTTTTTTCTTTAATTTACAGTGCACTCGAGAAAACTCGAACTAATGAAAACCAGCCCTGTCCGAGTTATCGAAATGTTCGAGTTTTCGAACGTTATGTATTTTTAATATATTTGTATGTATTCGTTTTAACAGTTTTCATACCCTGTCCATTTTTATGGCATAGTTAATCAAAGAGATTCTCTGGTTTCATGTTTTGTAGTTCATTGCCAGTTTATTTAATAAAAAATGTTAGCAAATATGAATGTTGCTTACAAATTATTAGAAAAAAAAGCAGTGATCTTGGTTTGATGTTTCTTGTTTTCTACCGCATTCAATACAGTCTTTTCGCGCAGTGATTGTAGCACATTAACTTTTCTCGTGCTAATTTTTTCAGCAGTTGCCCATGCTATAGCTTTGTTGAAAATTGTTACGGCTTCGGATGAACTTATGCGTTCTTGTTCATTTCCACCTGTAGCTTCAACTTCATCTTCGGAATCGCTTTCTTCTATAGCTTCAATATGATCCTCTTCAATCAAGTCGTCGTTTTCCAGTCTCTTATTTCTTCTTCTGTGAAAGTAGCCTAATAAATATTTATTATTGTTATCGTGTGTTTTTTATTTACATCAAAACCATAACTACCTCAGGATTTAAGTGTTCGAGAATTTCGGCAGCTTCTTTTTCCATACTTTTAGCTTCAGCTTCCATTTGGTTTTTCAAGACACTAAGTGGAATGTCATCGTCGTCATCGTCTTTCAGGCTTGCAAAGTTTAAAATATTTGTCCAGCATTTCGCCAACGTCTCCTGACTCAATTTATTCCAAGCTCTATCCAAAAATGTAACATCTCTCAAGCTAATTTTTTTTAATGATTGGATCAAGTCGCAATCATCGGAGAAAATAGTTAGCTGCCAAGAGAGAATTTCGGTAATGTAGCTTTGTTATTAACATTAAACGCAATATNCTGCAAAGAGAGAATTTCGGTAATGTAGCTTTGTTATTAACATTAAACGCAATATGTTTTGATCCATTGGTTGAATCAAAGGAGTTACATTCGGCGGCATAAACATCACCCGAATTAAACCATCTTCGGATCTTAACGTGTCCTCGTTTGGATGCGAAGGTGCATTGTCAAGCAAAAGTAACGCCTTTTCAGGTAGTCCTATATTTTTTAAATAAGTTTTGACCTATGTAATAAAAAAAATAGGTTTTTTAAATGGTGTATTAGTTTGTAGTCAAATGCGAACTTGCCTGTGGTACAAACGAAAAGTGAAACCAATTTTGGAACAGAGTTGATGTCATCCAGGCTGATTTTGAGCTTCGGTACTCCACTGGGCAGTTAAAATGCCTAAATGCACGCGGATTTTTGGCTTTTCCAATGACAAGTATTTTAACCTTGTGTTTCCCAGTAGCATTCGCACACGCCAGAAATGTGATGCGCTCTTTTTCAGATTTGTTTCCCGGTGCCTGCTTTTCCATTCTAGAAACGTATGATTTTCCCGGAAGGAGCTTCCAATATAACCCGGATTCATCTGCGTTGTAAATTTGTTCTGGGCATAGTTCAAGCTCCTGAATTTTAGCTTGTAACTGAGTTTTGAAAGGCTCCACTAACTCTGGTCGCGAGGATAGTTTTTCCCCTGAGATTGAAATCAATCGTATGCCATGCCGTTTTTTTNCATTTTTTTTAAATTTTGTAGCCATCCATCGCTGGCAAAGAATGTTGAGCCATTCTCGCTATATTTGGCATGTAACTCCTTAGCTTTCTCTTTCAAAATTAATCCATTTATAGGATAATTCTTGCTGCGTTGTATTAAAAACCACTAAGCTCAAAACGATTAGTTTTCGTCCCATTATATAACGCAAATAAATTTGATCTTAACCGCGCAAAATCCCGTGTATCACTGACAAATATCAATCAATTTAAAAGAAAAGTTCCGTAATTAGCAAGAAACCTAGCCAGTGCGGCGCCTTAGAATGAAACAAAAGACGCACATAACGACAATAATTTGAATATCGGCCGTTACAGCACATGCAAAACGACAGTTTCTCACATGTTTTTCCATGAAAAAAGAAAATAATTGTTCGAGTTTTAGAGTAGGTACATTTTGTTCGAGTTTTAAAGTAGTCAATGGAGAAAAAAAAAAGTTCAAGTTTCCGAATGTTCGAGTTATCGTGTGTTCGAGTTTTCGCGAGTACACTGTATAACTTTTTTATAAGTTTTCACAAAAAACAAAACAACGCTCAAAATTTTCCCAATTTGTAAATTTGTAAAGTTGAAATAACAAAATGTCACGAACCAGAAAATGTAAACAAAAGTATTGTGTGACGTCAGCGAATGGGTGGATGCTGTCAAATCGACGAAGAGAGGGTTAGCGGTCCGCGAATGGCGCGACCTTTAATTTCTGGATCGTGCATTTTTCTCGTATACACAATAAGCCATCGTTCGGACTTCGCTCCAATAGGAGTAGATTTGTTCCGTTTTGTCGAAAAAATTTGAAACCTAGTCCTCTACCTCGCTCAACTGAAAATTTGCTCCGTTTTGTTGCATCAACAAATTTACTCTTCAAATAGAAAGGAGGTGGGGTTTTTAATAGCAAACTAAAAGTTATATTTTACCTTTTTATCGACACGATTGTTACATTGGTGAGCTACAGCAACTTTGCAAATACACTTGAATTCGTGAATAGGCCCTCACAATCGCCCAATTTGAACCCGATCGAAAAATATTGCTCTGTCTAAAGTTCTGTAATTGCGTCGTTGCCCACCGATGTAACAATTGTCCCGGTAAAGAAGGAATGAAATAACTTTTTATTAATTTTAACCAAGGCATTTTAACTTTAATGATAATTGCTCGCTGGATTAAGGCGCCTTTACACGGGTCGATTTTCTAGTAGATTTTTGTCGTTCAACCAAAATCGACCCGTGTAAATGACATCTCAACCACTAGCTGGTCGATTTTCCAGTCTACAGATATCGACCCTTATAAGGCCGCTTTAGCTCCTTATTTGTACAAGGATACGAGGAGAAATGAATTGTTTTTTATAAAGATAAGAAATGCACATCTACTACGAATACTTGATATTTACTTCCATTTTTGTAGTCCGAACCCAGCAAAGAGCGCTCGGTGAAGGTCAGCTAGTGATCAAATTTGCCAACAGGGCTGCCAAACATACATAGCTATGAAGTGCCATATTGAGGATAAAAAAGTGCTAAAACGTGCCAAATAGAAAATTAAAAGTGCCAAAAAAGGTGTCATTCTCTTTAGTTCTTCCCATTAGCATTAAAATTAGACAAATTAAAACAAAAGCCCAATGTCAAAGTAAGATAAACCAGTTGTATACACTATAGAAATTAGAAAATTTTAGTTGAGAAAAAGAAGTACACGCAAAGGATTTCACAAAAATGTATTTAAATTTGGCTTTTTTTCAAAAGTGCCATTTTGGCACTTTGTGCAAAATTGAAAAATTCAGTGCCATTTCAAGTAAAATAGTGCCAAAAATGGCACGGTTTGAGCCAAGTTGGCAGCCCTGATCGCCAAGTTTTTTATTTAAAAAAGCCCCAAAATACTGAAAATAGCGCAATTTTCCCCACCAAAAAAAAATACCAATTTTGTGTTGCTGTGTTTAATGGTATTTTCGCATATAAAGCTGTATGTTCAAATATTTTAAGTAATCACACAATGAAACTTGTAAATATTTCCAACTATGCGCAGTTAATCAATTTAATAAATTTAATTTGCAAAATGTTTTTTTATTCGTAAAACAATTTCCAAAACTTGGTTTTTCTAGACGCTTAATTTTCATGCAATTGCTTACTTTTGTACAAATGCGCACACCCAGCTAATTAGCAGAATATTCTATGGATTCCGTGATAGAGACTGTGTGAAAATATTGCGTTTGGATTATCTTGGAGCATATTATCCAGAGGAGAAGCTCGGCCAAACACTAACATATGTGTAAGTCAAATACAATGTCAGCATAGAATCACGTTTTTATTATAAAATTGCCTTGAAAAGGGCACCAAAGAACAAAACAAGCTCTAAACTAAACAATTTTCGCCTTTTAATTCCCTAAACGCACTTAATTGCTTGCGGAAGGCACAAAGTTGGCAAATTTGCTCATATACAAGCATCACGATCCAGAAAATAAAGGTCGCGCCATTCGCGGACCGCTAACCCTCTCTTCGTCGATTTGACAGCATCCACCCATTCGCTGACGTCACACAATACTTTTGTTTACATTTTCTGGTTCGTGACATTTTAGGTTATTTCAACTTCACAAATTTACAAATTGGAAAGATTTTGAGCGTTGTTTTGTTTTTTGTGAAAACTTATAAAAAAGTTATA